GGTTTTCTAATATTTTTATGTGTATCGGGGACACTGATAGCATCAATTTGTACCATTCCAATTTTCAATCAGACGTCTATGGTTCTTGCAATTGCACTAAAACCAAATGTTTGATGAACTCACTAATCGCTTAATATGTTTTATCACATATTATAGTTCCTCGCGATTAGCAACGACGTCAAATAAATAGTTTAAGTGGAATTGCAGGAACCACAGTCTGGTTGAGAATTAAAATGGTGCAAATTGATGATATCAATGTACCCGATACACGTAAAAAATTTAGAAACTTCTTTACAATCCCTTTAAGCGTGAGCTGGCTTTAGCAACAATCTCGTCGAACTAATAATACTATAACTATATATCGATTTGAAGCTGACGCTCCTTAATCCATTTCAATTTGAAGCTGTTGGTGGTATATCCATAATATTTATTCCTATTTACTGAACTTATCCCGCACACAAATGGAAAATGACTTTAGGGCGTCATATTCCGCTGATAAAATTTTGACCATTTATTACTGGATCTATACGCGAAAAACAAAATCCATGATTATAATCAAATTCTTAGCGTCAATAAATCGTATGAAATATTAACAAAGTATCACGAAATAACCTGATTCTATCCTCATTAACCTGGAGAAAGTAATCAATACTGAGAATGAAACAATAAAGATAGACGATTGTTATACACGTCATATTACATGATAATTAAAAACATGACTATAAAAATATCCATTCTTTCCTTATTTAGATATGTATAGTAGATTGTTTGTTGCGTATTGTCGTTAAGTTCCTTCAAAACAAAACAATATTATGCATTAAAAATATCTTTGGTTTTCATTTCATCCGATTACATTCTTTTGTGTTATCTTTGTGTTGTATGCATATCTGAACTCATAAATAAATCAGGTATACGAATGGGTTCGTAAATAATCTAGAAATACATAGATCAAGATTGGAAGAATGGAGTACGTTGTTTTTCGACTGTCACTAATGATGATATGGTACTGGATTCATGGTCGATCTGTATCGTGGTCAATCTGCACTGTAGATGGTTTCATAGTCAATCTGCATTGTATCGTTTCATATTGAACTAGTAAGTAAATGGGTTCAGGGACAATCTGTAGTGTTTATGGGTTCAGAGACAATCTGTAGTGTAGATGGGTCCGTGGACAATCTGTAGTGTTTATGGGTTCAGGGACAATCTGTAGTGTTTATGGGTTCAGAGACAATCTGTAGTGTAGATGGGTTCAGTGACAATCTGTAGTGTAGATGGGTTCAGGGACAATCTGAAGTGTTTATGGGTTTAGGGACAATCTGTAGTGTTTATGGGTTCAGAGACAATCTGTTGTGTTTATGGGTTCAGAGACAATCTATAGTGTTGATGGGTTCGTAGACAATCAGTAGTGTTTATGTGTTCAGAGACAATCTGTAGTGTTTATGGGTTCAGAGACAATCTGTAGTGTAGATGGGTCCGTGGACAATCTGTAGTGTTTATGGGTTCAGGGACAATCTGTAGTGTTTATGGGTTCAGAGACAATCTATAGTGTAGATGGGTTGAGGGACAATCTGAAGTGTTTATGGGTTCAGGGACAATCTGTAGTGTTTATGGGTTCAAAGACAATCTATAGTGTTGATGGGTTCAGAGACAATCTGTAGTGTTTATGGGTTCAGGGACAATCTGTAGTGTTTATGGGTTCAGAGACAATCTATAGTGTTGATGGGTTCAGAGACAATCTGAAGTGTAGATGGGTTCAGAGACAATCTGTAGTGTAGATGGGTTCAGAGACAATCTAAAGTGTTGATGGGTTCAGAGACAATCTGTAGTGTTTATGGGTTCGAGACAATCTATAGTGTTGATGGGTTCAGAGACAATCTATAGTGTTGATGGGTTCAGAGACAATCTGAAGTGTAGATGGGTTCAGAGACAATCTATAGTGTTGATGGGTTCAGAGACAATCTGTAGTGTTTATGGGTTCAGGGACAATCTGTAGTGTTGATGGGTTCAGAGACAATCTAGAGTGTTGATGGGTTCAGAGACAATCTGTAGTGTTTATGGGTTCAGGGACAATCTGTAGTGTTTATGGGTTCAGGGACAATCTGTAGTGTTTATGGGTTCAGAGACAATCTATAGTGTTGATGGGTTCAGAGACAATCTGAAGTGTAGATGGGTTCAGAGACAATCTGTAGTGTAGATGGGTTCAGAGACAATCTGTAGTGTTTATGGGTTCAGAGACAATCTGTAGTGATTATGGGTTCAGAAACAATCTGTAGTGTTGATAGATTCAGAGACAGTCTGTAGTGTTGATGGGTTCGTAGACAATCTGTAATGTAGATGGGTTCGTGGACAATCTGTATTGTAAATGGGTTTGTTGACAATCTGTACTGTAAATGTGTTTGTCGACAATCTGTACTGTAAATTGGTTTGTTGACAATCTGTACTGTAAATGGGTTTGTTGAAAATTTGTACTGTAAATGTGTTTGTGTACAATCTGTACTGCAAATGTGTTTGTGGACAATCTGTACTGTAAATGGTTTGTGGATAATTTGTACTGTAAATGTGTTTGTTGATAATCTGTACTGTAAATGTGTTTGTGGACAATCTGTACTGTAAATGTGTTTGTGGACAATCTGTACTGTAAATGTGTTTGGGGACAATTTGTACTGTAAATGTGTTTGTGGACAATCTGTACTGTAAATGTATTTGTGGACAATCTGTACTGTAAATGTGTTTGTGGACAGTTTGTACTGTAAATGTGTTTGTGGACAATCTGTACTGTAAATGTGTTTATTGACAATTTGTACTGTAAATGTGTTTGTTGACAATCTGTACTGTAAATGGGTTTGTTGACAATTTGTACTGTACATAGCTTCGTAGACAATAATTTACCTAACGTCCTTTATCGCTTGAAAATACCCCTTGCATAATCAAAATGTGTCAGCTAAATTATTCATGAATATTTTTTTTATACTCTAAGGCTAATTATCTTTCGCTTTCTTTGTTTTAACAACTCTCTTGGCTAACAATTGTAAGAACGTCTGAGATGATTTATATGTTCTTCCGAACATTCCATGAAAGTGTACACATCAGCCATCGCTCACCTAGCTATACTGCCAATTATTTACATTTTGAATAATATTTCCAAATCGATTATTCCGTTTCATATCAAGAAAATGCGAATTGGCTTTGGGTTGTCACATTCATGTTATTTTGCATCGTATGCGTTTGTGGTTTTGATACTTGAAGTACCTTATACTAAGCGAACCCTTTTGCCACCGAAATATATGTTTGTCTATGATACTAATACGAAAAGGTACCATACAACCTTTTCATACATATAACAACATTTCTTGAAACGGATGATCTGTCATTCTATGGGGAGCCGGATTCAGCGACCATAGTCGAGGTCAGGGGTTTGTCATAGTCCAGTTTTCAGCCCGATTTCCTGCTGCCTACGGTCTCTTTTAACGTGAACAGCCGGTAGTGCATGCGTAATACACGGGGCCTCGGTTAATGGCCCATTCGAATTGAGAGACGCCTTTTCAAGCCAGCCATCTTTAAGATGCTGGTGTCACATTATAAGTTGAAGGGAAGTAACCAGTTCTCAGCAATGTCAATGTTAACAAGTGACTGTCTGTAACGGATGTGTTGGGTCATCTTGTATTCCGAAAGAATATTGATCCTGAAATTCTCTACCGTTGTTTTTTAAGGTTAATTTATCGCTTCTCGGCTCCATCCGAAATAAAAATCAACTTTACGAGCTGCTCACTACAAATTTTCCTCGCGATATATCATGCACAACTAAGTGCTATTAAATGAAATACTGTTCTCGGTTCAAATAGAAGGATATTTATCATTCAAAACTACGTATGGTTCTTTCATGGAAATAACACACACGAACGTAGTTGACGGCCATTTTGAATCACCAACTCGACTTAATTTAAAGGTTTAGAAAAATTATTAAGTCAAGTTGGTGATTTAAAATAATTGTGAACTACGTTTGTGTAGTTATTTCCCTGTAAGAAACATACTTAGTTTCGTATGGGATAGTATAGCATAGATGTATTTCCATTGTAACAGACCATAAGACCTTAGACAATTTTGTTTAACACTATACACATTTGAGCATAGTCCCCAGTTGAGTTGAAACAACAACGTTTCGGATATAAAATTTTAATCGGGACAGTTGGGTGTTTTTTCATATAATATTTTGACTTCATGCGCATAAGCAAAGTCAGCACAGTATCACAACCAGAGCTATTATTATTATCATCATTATCATTATCATTATCATCATCATCATCATCATCATCATCATCATCATCATATATTATTATCATTATTATTATTATTATTATTATTGTAAATATTATTATTGTAATTATAAGTATTATTATTATTATTTCAGAGCCAACGAAATGTAACCAAACAGCATCAATGATGTATTTGGTGAGAAAGTTTTTTGCCTCGGAAACGACGGTTGCTAAAGCAGAGCTTGAACAAGGCAAGCTACTGAGAAAAACGGGAAAGAAGGGCCGAGGCAAAAGTCAATTCAACATGCCTTGTGGTATAACTGTTACCAAATCCGGTAGGTCAATTATGATTTTGATTTGCGGATCGATATTACGATTAAATAATCGGGATGTGCATTGAACACTTTCCAACTTTTTTTCCCGACTTGGGCGTTTTCTGTTACCGTAAACCATATGACATCTATATTGAAAATAAAGTGGCAATTTTTACGCTACTTATTTCTTACTTGTTGGCGGACATTCACTTTCTCCAGGAACGTAAGATGAAGAAGTGAGTTTGTGGAAGCCGCCATGTTGATGTGAGCACGTGATACATACCTGGAATTTTATTGGTTGACTTTTAAGCTAGATCAGGACAAATTGTCTGGAACAAATGCACGCTTACCGGCAAGGCTGCAACAACGCACATTGGCCAAAGTTTCGACTTCGATATTATCATGAAAATAATGTTCTCTTTATTTAATTTAAGGTGATATAGTAGTCGCTGATACCGAGAACCACAGAATTCAAATATTCAACAGTGATGGATTATTCAAATTTAATTTTGGAACTAAAGGAAGTGAACCTTACAATTTATGTTACCCTATGTGTGTTGCAATGACAAGTAATGATACAATAGCAGTGACGGACAGCGTAAACGCCTCAGTAAAAATTTTCTCCTTGGGAGGAAACCTTCTGCAGCATTTCAAACCAAAGAGTATATTCGAATTTCCATACGGGATATGTGTTAGTTTTGAAGGTCATTTAGTGGTGACGGATATTTGCAAACACGAAGTGATTGTTTTACACCCAAATGGCGAACCAAGTCACATTATCGGTTGCTATGGTGATGGCGCAAGAGAATTCGATCATCCATATTTCGTGACTGTGAACAAAGACAAGCAAATAATTGTCTCCGATACGGGAAATAGTTCCATCAAGATCTTCCAATTTCAAGGCAGATTACTCCGCTCGTTTAGTTTGAGTGATTTTAAACTACCTCGTGAGAGTTTTGTGTCGTTACAGGGTCTTTGTACGGATAATGAAGGAAACACAATAGTTATATGCAATAATACTGTTTATATACTTACTAAAAACGGACGATTATGGGAAATTCTTACTCCAAAAGACGGGCTTTCTTCACCTAAGTGCATTGCCTTCTCACCAACTGGACGACTCGTGGTAACTCAAGCAGAGCTCGACGACAAACACGAACTATGTTTATTTCGTTACAACGCCGATGATTACAAATCATTAAATATGTTGCTTTATTATGCTATTTCTATTTAGCATTTGCATAATTTTTAGTAGTCGTATTCATTCTCAAGGCTAATCCGAATCATAAAGATTTTATTCGTGTCTCTGATAGTTTGTATTGTGTCATTTTTAGAGTATAACACTACAAGGGATATGACTGACGTTTTCTTCTGACATATCCTCAACACCTACAAGAATACATAAAACTAGTTATTGCCATTAGTTTATTAATTTTAAACCTGTTATTTTCTATGGAAATTGAGTTTGTTCTTAGGTTTGAGGTGCGACAAGACGAGGGTGTGCTAATCATACGCTGTAATGTTAAAATAAAGTATAAGAAGCAAGATGAACGGGTGCGGATCATCATCGGTTTTGACATGATCTTATTAACCTCGAGAAAGAATGACGAATGGGGGTATGGTTTGGGCAAAATAAGATTCGGACACGATTTGCTTCTTCTGTTTTTCTACTTATGACCAACACCGTACATCGTATCGCACACCATACCTCGTCTATTCACACCTCAGTGCTTAAAACCATTTTCCAATTCGTCTGGCTATAGCTATCGGAGATTCGGAAGAGTTCCTATCTAACTAGCTCGGAGTCATAGTATTTCGTTTTAAGTTATATTTTTTCAAAATTTATATGGGGTTAGTATTGAATCCAAACCACCCAACTTCACTAACCGGAAGTAAAAAATTTCTGCAATGTTAATTGCACAGAACACAGATGTTCCTACAAGACAATGACACATAAATTTATTCTGAAAAATAATCGATTAGAAATTAAAAAAGAATTTTTCGTTCTTCTGTTTCATATATATAAAAATCTATGATCTACAATACAAGCATTACCCATTTTCTAGCAATTTTTAACATCCATTTATGTAGGTTGGTGTAGGCGGGTGATTTAATACCAACTCTCCAATGTGCCATATTTTAAACATTTCACATCATTTAGTGCTAATCTTTTTGACATTTTGTATATTACATTTTAATAATTTTTCACATTTTTAACTTAGACATAGAGTTTGAAAGAGTCTAAATGTGTCGACTTAGTCATAGAGCTGATAGGTCTCGATTTCAGCGATTTTTATTACTTTTCAGAAGGCGTAATCTCCAATGACGTTTCATGATTGAATTTGGATGACAACCTGGTATAATTATTTAAACTGGATGCAATTGCATACAGATCGAACGTGGAATTTTATTCTGAAAAGTGTTCCAAACAGTTGTAATTTTGGCCATTTCCAAACTTTTTTTATACGACTTTTTGTACTAGTTGTCATTGGGCATCTTACTGAAACGGTCAACAGAGTGTTACGCTCTCCTAATATCATTATAGTCCCGTCACACCAGAAAGGCGTTCTTACTTGTGCTGCTTTTGCGACGGAAAATTGGCTCAGAGCATCTTAAAGGGACGGATGTGCAGTTTCGGAGGGTTGATTTTAGTCTTCTAAATATGTAAATAGTCTTCAGAAGTACTAGAAATGTAAGAAAATCACTCAATTCCTTTAAAAATACTTCAAACAAGAAATTGTACTCACTATTTCTATATAAATGTATTTCTTTTCTATATATCACAGAGTATCTTAAATTGATGAGTTGTCATTGTAACATTCAAACACAGATAATTCTGGACAAACATGGATTTGGAGGCTCAAATTTCGACGGTGAGCTGTGATCACTATTATTGATTAATTCCAGTTTCTAAGACTAAAGTATGATTGGTAAAAAACAAATGGCCTGTCTGTCTTTTTAAGGTTGTCATAAGCTTACTATAAGCGTGTACGACACGTCAGATCTGCTCTGGAACGCATAGAGAGGTCGTCAGACAAGCGTTGTAACATCTCTTTGAGCGGTGTGAAAGCGCAGGACACGCATGGCAAAGACGCTGCAAAAATATTAGAAAGCAATATGATCGCATAACTCGTGGTATGAGGTCGACTGTTTTTCAGTGCTAGTTTTCCTTACATTTGACCGCGACCTAATACATTTCTAGTTGCCGTAAGATCGCACATGGTCGTCGTCCGGTGTGACGGGGCTATTAACTCAATGTAATTTCGTAATATATAAATGGACTACTGTACACGTTTTTGTATTTGTTTTGAGCAGAACATTTATCTGATACTTTATCTTCAGAGCTTACAAGTAAAAGGCTAATTGAAACACTACGTGGAATCGTTTCAGTTTTTAGAGAGCTTGAAAGGCATGGTTCGCCATTTTCATCAATCGTACCTCGGTCTCAGAAACCTAATCGGTTGTAGTATTCACAGCTAACCGTTAAAATTGGATCTTGTAGGACTAGTAAGAAGGCTTAAATCAAACCCCCAAAATGGCGAACCATGGACTGTTTCAGATGAATGACTGTTCCTTAGCTTTTTGATGGCCAGTACAAACGAATAGAAACAACATTACTTTTTCATCGATGGAAAAAATTAGGGAATTATCCATTATTGTATATGAAGTCTTACATTTCTGATTTTGGATGTGCTGAAATTGAAATTGGATGTTTGAATTCGCTTGTAGCTTCTTCTAAATACTATATATAAATTGTTGGAAAAGTGTTTTGCATGAACAATAAATTTGATTCTTGACATCACTGTGTTATTATCTATGTATCCTGACGTCAAGTTTGGTTTTTGTGGTGTGTTTGCAAATATTTACCTATAGTGCGTTCAGTGAGTTACGCTTAACTATCAAACGTTCTTCTAGTCACTTTTTGTTTGCGTCGTCTGAACGCGACTGGTAAGTCATAAGCTGCCTTAACTTGCACCTACTTCGGAAGTGGCTCAAAACCTGGCTTGAATAATTAAACCAGCTTAGTTTGACCGTCTGAAAGCCGGATATGCCATGTCTGTGCATGCGCTTTCCTGTATACAAATTCCCGCCGTTATTATTCTCGGGGTAAATCCGAATTAAAGCCGGCTCACCAAAAAACTATAAACACTGCTAAGAGAACGATTGATGGTTCATATGCCTTAACTTCAGTCGTATGAACGCACAAGACAGTGTTCGTGCAATCACAGTGCTTTCCGTGTTGCCTTTGATATAAATGCTAATAGCTCAGCTCTCTTGTTGTCAACACAAGGCATTTAAAAACTCAATGATAAGAAACTGGGAGCCGGACAACCCCACTTCTTAATAAGTGAAATTAATAATCGGGATAATTTTACATAATTTACTCTATCATAAGTCTGTCTTGCATCTATAAGGCAAACATAAATAGCGGACGACCTGTTGTAGCCAAACTGCTAAACACTCTGAACTCCATAATTAGATGATTAATTACAGTACAAAGTACATCATTTAGGGACAATGTAACCTGACCTTTTTTTTAGAACATAATCATCGTCCAATGAGTTGAAATGAATACCAGGGTCTGAAAAAAGAAAGACGGATATAATGGTAAACCCATTAATCAAAACGCCAACATAATTATGAATTTCAATTGGTTGAGATATGCAATATGTGCAATTCTATTGGTCTTACTTGCAATGGAATGATAACATTTTTTTAAAAAAAGTCCCGGATAGAAAATCGCTTGAAGGTCTTAAAGACAAGGTCAAATTCATTTTCGCAGGTGTTTAAATTGAGACAAATAATCGAATAGCATCATTCCATGAAAATGCCATGCTATATTTGGACGCTGATCGCTTTTGTTGTGTTGTGCCTATGTCGATCGGCTACATCAGGTAATAATAGATTTTTTAATTGCATTCAAATTTTTTGTTAGATTCAGGATTGACGTTTGTAAGATTTGAAAGAAAAATTAAAATACCGTAACTTATGCCCAAACCTATGAGTTGTATCCTGATACCATAGCGTATCCTGATACCATAGCGATCACCACTTACGTATACTTGGAAATAAAGAATAGTAGTCATATGTTTTGAACCCAACAAGCTATAGGCAACTTATATTATAGGTTTTAAAGTTTTGAGATTCGAAACAAGGAACCATGTGATCGCATTCCAGATCAAATGAAAAAATAATTTTATTCAGATAAACAGTAGAAAACTACTCGGCCGATCCAGAGCACCCATTTCTTTTCTCAGTGAAGTATTTGTTCCGACCTGGGCCTGTTCATTTGGGAGAATCAAACACCCCTTTCATTAAAACAAAACGTAACTTGCGCGCAAATCGAACAGATGACCACAGATATTGGGTTTTGAACGTAAGTCTCCAGCAACCAACACAAAACGCCAAACATTGATGTATTTGAAATTTTTTTTTCATGTTTCCATTGTTTATTTCTTCATAAAGCATCAAATTGTAATGGAAATTGGACCGAATTCTTCGATCGAGATGATCCATCTGGTAACTACGACTCTGAGGATTTGACCAACATTCTAAATGAATATCCTGGGAGAGTTTGTGAGAATCCTATTGGTGTTGATGCTAGGCTGTTGAATGATTTAAACTATACGACTAGTGGTGAAATTGTAACAATCAGTCCATCTATTGGTCTCATCTGTAAAAATTCAGACCAGATAGATAACAAATGTGAAGATTACAAAATCAGATTTTGTTGTCCGAAAGGTACGTTTTTTACATCATCAAATCTTTCTTACTATCAATTGATATAAAACTTTATTGCGAATAGACGAGATGTTATATACAATGCGTTGTTCTTTTTCTTTTTCTACTGACATAAGTCAAAACTGTTAAAATAGTGCAGGATGTTATATTATTTTCACCAAGTAAAAATTAACGTTTTTAATTCAAAATAAAAAGTGAAAAATGTCGTATGTAAACCACCGTACGCTTATACCTATCATTATAAAAGCATATCACAAATAACATTTCCAGATTAGGCCACATACTCTTTGTGCAGAGGCTAATTCCGATCTCAATTTGCTAGCAGGCATACATGTAGTTTGTTCTTTGTACCATATGACATTTCATTTTGTATTAGCATTCTTTCACGACATAGTGATGAACTTAAAGTAATAGTACATATTTAAGATTTTTAAGCTACTACTGAGGAGTGTTAGATTTTAATAAATCAATATCCCGTCAGGCGATTACACCATAGCGTATTCCTTAATCTCTGAGTTACGTTTAAACATGTTTGTGTACGCACCATGTGCTACTGAAATCAACAAATGTTTTAATTTCTATCTATTCCACCAAACATTTGTCGATTTGACATGTTTTATTTATATTTCCATTCTCTTTTTTTTTAAAGAAATCATAGAACCAAATTGTAATGGAAATTGGACCGAATTCTTTGATCGAGATGATCCATCTGGTAACTACGACTCTGAGGATTTGACCAACATTCAAATTGAATATCCCGGGAAAGTTTGTGAGAATCCTATTGGTGTTGATGCTAGGCTGTTGAATAATTTAAACTATATCACTAGTGGTGAAATTGTAACAATCAGTCCATCTATTGGTCTCATCTGTAAGAATTCAGACCAAATAGATAACAAATGTGAAGATTACAAAATCAGATTTTGTTGCCCAAAATAATCAAATCTGTCTTGAACCCAATTGATACAGAAATAAAGAGACCAAATATTATATATGATGCGTTGTTCTTTTTCTTTTTTTCTACTCCATAAACAATTCCGTGCGTCATCTTTTCGCGCACATGTCAAATACTGTTTAAAAGAATGCGCAAAAAAATAAAACTAGCTTACATTATTATTGCATTATAAAGCATATCACAAATAACATTTCCAGATGAGGAGAGGCTAATTCCAATCTGAGTTTGCTAGCAGGTAGTTTGGTCTTTGTGCCATGACATTTCATTTTCTGTTAGCATTCCTTGAATTCCTTGAACGTGGTCGCATTCCAGATCAAATGAAAGAATAATTTTGATTAAGATAAACAGTAGAAAATTACTCGGTCGACATTGAGCAGCTAATCCTATTTCTCAGTGAAGATTATAAAGTTACTTCCTGCTGTCGCACATAATCATTTTGCAAATTGTCCCTTTAAAGGATGGTAAGGATGGGTAATGCTTTATTATAAGAGCATAGCATAGCTAAGTCAGATTTGAAGAATCTGAACCAAAGCTTCGTTTTAACTTCTATTTGTAAAAAATAGTATATAAAATGCAATTTCAGTATAATCAATATACTACACATCATATGTCTTTCATTCGATCCTGGATCATTAGCCTACTAGTCCCATGGCCTTATGCTACGCTTACGCTATGTTTCTGGTAGCAACGGTAGCTTTGTTTACCCGAAACGTATTGCGCCGTGGGATTTTGACAATTTTTGACCCCATATCCATGTTTGTTAGGTTGGGCTTAGTTTCACCGTCTATACATCTTCAAGACCACACAGACCGTGTCAGACCGAAGCAGAACTCGTACTGTAATGCTCCGGCCTGCGAAGCTTGACAACGGAATCCTTTAAAATTGAACGAATTTTCAAAATGCCTTGCCGCTAAAAACAAGAACAAAAGAGTTAAATTGAAGCATTCAAAAGTTTTATTCGTAAATTTCGTTGATTTGCAAAATGTTATAAAAAGCAATGTTTTTGGTATTTTTGGAACTTGATTTTGGATTTATTGGTACTTGATTTTGGGTTTATTGGTACTTGATTTTGGATTTATTGGTACCTGATTTTGGTTTTATTGATACTCGATTTTTGGTTTATTGGTACTTGATTCTAGGTTTATTGGTACTTGATTTTAGGTTTATTGGTACTTGATATTTCAGATCTAAAGTTCTTTGGCTACATATTTCCAGCTCGCAACAATTCCTCCATACGCTTGCAAAGTCACAGAGGAAGGCGAAACCTCGTCGTCTATAGCGTATCCTGCGCCATTTTTAGTGGTTAGGACCACGGTGGTGGTCTCTGGCAAGGTGTCGTGTTTACCACTAAGATCAATGGTTGATGAAGAACTTCCAACATTTACAGCGATGAGATAACTGAAAGATAGTAACAAACATGAACTAGAGTTAAACCTTTATCGAGATTTAAAATAGTGTTCCTAAAACATGATGTCATGAAAGTCATTGACATTTGAACACAATTAATGACGCTTTCATTTAACACCAATTAGATTAGGTGCCATGCGTTCGAATCTTTCTTAAAAATTCTGATTCCTGTGCCAGTGCTAACGACAGTCTATCCGATGTCGGCTTTCATCCCCTAATACCAATCAGAACCCCCACCAATTGAATGCTTACACAAAAGATAGTACCAGAGCTATATATACAGTCAGTAAAGTAAAATCAAATGTCCCAGTGTGCCACGTTACAGATTTAGTACCGAACTCATAATTCACTTACCCAGTCTCTCCATCGAACTCTTTAATAAAGGAGATTATTGAACCACTGAGCCGAAAAAGTTTAAAGTCGCCATGTTTGAAAGAGGGTTTATTTCGGATACTTGTGAGGTTCTTAAACAGCGTTAACATTGAATTGGGATCTTTTGACAGCACCTGAAAGGATTATAGTACAATAATAAGTTGAAAAACTCAAAATCCTTTTATCCAATTATGATTTTTTTTAGAAAAAGATTCCAAAAAGTCCAATTTGTTGTGTTTGCCTAAGCATAATATCACAGCTTTAATATGGAGTTTTGTCCATTTTCTTGACAATGCAAATCAATATTAGGTTCATGTGTATGTAAGATTTTTTTGTGAACCTTGGATCAAATCTTGGAAATAAGCTAAAAATTACAATTCTTTAAAATATCTCACCATTACAGAATTGTTAGCAGCGTCTGTGTTAATTGGTTTCCACGTTGACGAACAGTTTTGACAGAAACCGGCAGAACTAGAATTATTCCACTGCATAGGTGCTCTCATTACTTGATTGCGTGACCATCCATTTGTAGGGGAATCCTGAGAGTTGGTCATTTCAAGTTCGTCACCATAGTAAACAAATGGCGTTCCTGGTAACAACATGGTTAAAAACAACATTGGTCTGTTGAGTTTTGGTCTTCTGTTTGCCATTCGTCCAGTATTTTCGTCACCTTCCTGCAAAAACACGATTTTTTTAATTTGAAGCTTTGAAATACCCACAGGTGGACTACAAAAGCTGTGAACACATTAAGGTGCAGTAAACAACATTCGTCTTCCCCAAGATGCGTACGGTTAAGTTGCAATAACGGCTGATACATTACTCCATGCAATTCAAATCATGCTTCATTAATCTCGCCTTCAGTTATAGATGAAGATACTCACCATCCAGTTACTCCATCGTCCAGACGGTATATGATCAATCCATGATTTAATCCTAGAGTAGATGGTCTGGATGTCAGTGCCATTCTGAATCATTTGAAAGTGTTTATTAAGTGGAAAATCCACACCATCTCGATTATACATCCCATAGTAATCCATATTAGTTTCAATATCACCGTTAACATCAGCAAATAATAATCTGAAATATTAAATGAAATTCGATTGAAACGGTGTGGCGTTATCAAAATTTCAAATCCATTAATTTTCACATTATATAAGCTGGATTTCGAAAAGCATAATCCAGCTTTCAGCTTTCAATTAGGCCAAATACGGAATTCAAATTGTTGATAACCAGAAAATCTCTGAATTTGTGTCCGGTAATTATCTAGATGAATACAAATGAAACCCAGCTTAAAGTCAACTTTACTGTTTCGCTTTGTGAATTTACAACGTTTGTTTTCATTCTTTTTACTCATATTAGATATCCATTATTGTCACAATAGCCAAAACGTGAGGACAAAATGTGTTATAAACAATCAATATTCTAAAATATTTGAAAATCATTGCAGCTCTTACTTGTAGCTTCCGGTTTTGTTACCATAGCCATCCATGAAGTGCCGCCATCTTGCAAACAGATCATTATTCTCTGGTCGGGCATAAGTGTAGATGTGGTCGTAATAATCATAATCATTCTATACAGAAATAATTTCATCAATTTAATTGGTGTCGACAGCTGGGTCAAAAATTAACAGCAACTTTAGTCGTGATATTCTTTGGACTTGTGTCAAGATTGATGAACAAACTACATTCGAAATCTCAAAATAGAATATTGACACGAGTAAATGCCAATCGATATTTCTGAACCAGCTGGAAAGGGGGGTAACTTCGACTGAATTGTTTAAGTTTTTTTTTCAAAGTAGTCCAAAAGTTTGAGCTTCACATTGTACTTCAGGAAATCCCGAGTTGCTACAAAAGACACGACCTCCTACCAAAATTGCTAATGAGAAACTTGACAAGAACTAAACGAAAGTATTTTGGTGAGATGGCCCTTGTTTTAGGTTTTTAAAGCCAAGCATATTTGCTGGTCGGTATGCCACAAGGCCATAAGCGTTTTATCTTGAATCCACCACTTTCTAAAGTAACAAGACACAGATTACGTGATAATCTGCCCCTTATTGGGCTCATAGGGGCGACAGTGCCATGCATTTCAAGTTGAAAATTTTGACAGGACAGCTGTACAGGACAGACTTTCATCATCCAAGGCTACTTAAACGTCCTTTGATTAGAATATGAAATGAAATGTTGCTTTTCTAGAGCTTGCAATGTCAGCACATAGGCATTATATCTTTAGTACAGCACACAGAGCCTTGATATATTATCCAACATTTCCATGTCCAGTCCTTTTGATTTGAATGTTCTTGAGCGATTAAGAAAAACCTAGGAAACTCACCGGACTAGCAGATATGGTGGAATTTGACTTCGGTTCATCTCGTAAATCATAGTCTTCTAATAGCCAACCACTATCTCTAATATAGAAACCATCAACACCTAAATCTAACCAATATTTCATTATATTCTGAAGAAAGAAAAAAACACCTTCAAATGGTCAATTGGTGTGTTGATGTGTGTTAACACCACCTATAACTGTTTCTCCTATATTGTTACCTAGAGACAGCGTATTTCGGGAGGTGGGAGGGTGTATTGGGCCGTGGCCCTACCCTCGGGACTCTGAAAAGTCATATTTTAAAATGAAAATTAAGTCATATAAATGCGCCAAATTCATCTCAGGCCGTCTCACCTAAATGGGGGGGGGGATTCGTATTCGAATCTTAAACTATTATTTTTATTTTTATTTGAAGACAGTTATATGCTACTTCAATTTCTAATGCGAATATTGTTAGCAGTTAGCAGGGAATTTCCGTTGGAAATTGGGACTCTTCCCAAATCCCATGATAAGCTGAATAATGTTTTGATACGTACTGTGAGTTCCTTATTAACAGCATAAGATCTGAGGTTAAGATCGGGCTGACTCTCTTCTCTCTGATGCAAATAGTACTGTCCTCTTCCATCATCTAATTTCCAGGCTGAACCGTTATAGATTGATACCTACAATATAAATTATATAGCTTCTTTGGAAAATGTTCTTTAAATAAAGATGCGATATTCTGTTGATAAATCCTATTCAATTGAAAGGAAATGGATCTTGCACATACTCTTCCATATAGAAAAATATAGTTGATTCGTAATCAAATGATTGGACAAATTTGGATCTAAATCTAATGATTGGACAAATGTTAATTCTTATTCAAATGATTGGACAAATTTTGATTCAAAACCATGGGATTGGAGGAATTTTGGACCTTAATCTGATGACTGGGCAAATTTTGATTCTGATTTAAATGATTGGAATTTTGATTATAAGTCAAATGATTGGACAACTTTTGGATCTAAATCTAATGACTGGGCAAATTTTGATTCTAATTTAAATGATTGGACGAATTTTGATTATAAGTCAAATGAATGGACAACTTTTGGATCTAAATCTAATGATTGGACAAATGTTGATTCTAAATCAAATGATTGGACGAATTTTGGATTTCAATTTAATGATTGGGCAAATTTTGATTCTAATTTGAATAATTTGACGAATTTTGATTCTAAATCAAATGATTGGTCGAATTTTGGATTTCAATTTAATGATTGGTCAAATTTTGATTCTAATTTGAATAATTTGACGAATTTTGATTCTAAATCAAATGATTGGTCGAATTTTGATTCTAAATCAAATGATTGGACAAATTTTGATCTAATTCAAATAGTTTTGGGTTAGTTTATGTTCTTATTTGAATGATTAGACTAAATTTGATTTCTCCAAATTGACCTTAATTTTTAAAACAACCTCGACACCATTCATATCAACTTGTTAAAGCCTTTTTTCGTTAAACCCATTTCAACCATTTATAGGTGAAATACTTACCCAATTTGATGGCGGACCTCCATTACCATCTTCCCAAACATAGAAGTTTCTCATTTTATTGGTTCTGTCGCTACTATTTTTAGACATGACAAACCATTCATGTTCATCACTAGTGAAGCCTGGTACAAAATCCATCAACAAGTACATTCCTGTAATACACAAACAATATTCTGGTGATTCTCAGAAAATATTTTTTAATAGTTGGATCATATTAAGTGAATTTAAAGTGATTAAGTTAGGTGATCTTCACTTATACCTTGACTGCAGTAGCCACTATTCTTGTATCACAGAATGCAGCGAGTTGATTGGATTGTAGGCCAGCGTGTTCAGAGATTTTCTAGCGAGGCCTTTGATTGACAGTATTTGTAAACGTACAATCCAATCCAATCACGTCAGTTCATTTGCAATCCCCCCAAGAAAGGTGCCTATTGCAGTCAAGGTGTAAGTACAAAGTTCGTATTAACTTAACATCGTGATGATGGGAGATAACACGCTAAGATTTTCCTTACAACCGTCAATGATAAATATGATATATTCAAGTAATAAGTTTATCTATTTTGGATAAGTCGCAAATCTAAAGATTTTTGTTTAGTATTTCCGTATAAGTATAAAGATCACAAAACCTACCATGTTTCTTGGTCATGTTAACAAGCTCCTGAAAGTCCTGCATTGTTCCATATTCTGGATTGATAGCTTTATGGTCGATGATATCAAAATCTGAATCCTTTCCTGATGCTTGTTTGTAGATAGGACTCAGTGATAGAGCTCCAACACCAAGATCTTTCAAATAACCAAGCCTTTGTGTAATTCCTGTAAGAGAGAAATTGAGTGTAATACATTAACATGGGTGGGCTGCTTTTACTAGATTCTCAAACTGGGCTTTAAACGAACACACTATAATCAGGCCACGTATTCTTGATGGCCTAGGTTCTTATCTTCTACCATTGATTCTAGGACATCCTAGCGCTAACATCGTTCAAGAATATGTGGCCAGGTTTTCCAATGCACATCATCTATGTGGTTGTCGGAGAGATTAGGAATTAGAGGGTGTAAAATTGCGGTAAAGAAATTTTACGTAAGTACAGGCATAAATATTCAATAAAAAGCGATGACACTGGATTCAAGTTGAAATACAGAGATTAAAGTCATATCAATGTTTATCTTCTGAATGTCAAGGTATTACTAATACCGTCTTATACCTTGACATCATATGGCACTTTTTATTGTACATTTTAACATAATATAAATATTTTTACAGACCTTCCGTCGAGGTCTCTGATAATCGTTAGCGTACAATCCATTCTATCAAAAATTTGGGTGGAACTGGAAAAGTGTTTAGTGGTGTCAAGGTATCAGACGAATGTCGTAATATCTTGACATTGTGAATATAGTCAATGTTGTTAAACAAACCCTACCTTTCAGATCTCCAACTCCGTCATCACCACTGTCTTGGAAACTTCTGACATAAATTCTATAAGTTGTCTTATGCTGCCACCAGAGTTGAGATTCGGGTTTGCGACATTTTGGGTAGATGATAACAATGGCGATAACTGTAATAATCAAGGCCAGCCAACCCAGGAGCACAATGCTCATACATATATATCTGTAAAATTAGAATCATTTTATTGAAACAAGGCAAATAATGAAAGGACGTGCTTATATTTTTTACCCACAGGACTAGTATGATCAATCCTCTTTTTTAGTTGCGATTTTCATGACTTCTGATAGTTTGTTTACAAATTATTGCGTTTTAATTTCCAGAGTTTGGATCAGATGTATGTGTAAACTAACCAAGTGTTGCCTTTTTCTGAATGATATATGTTAAACTGTCGAAATTGACTTTAAAATTTCGATCAGCTATAATTAGACCAACAATGGTAAATACCAACCTAAGAGTTTTCCAGATGCCTTTCGAAGAGTGTCTTAATAGTTCATCCTTTCCCATGCCTCTATAAGGTTTATCTGAGTGATGAGGCAGTTTCTCGTCAAAATGAACTTCAGGAGCCTTCTCATCAGCGTCAAAGCCGAGGTTGTCGGTTCCATCTGACGATTCATTGAGTGGCTTGTGCGAGACGATATAAACCCCCGATTTCTCCATTTTCTATCTAAATAATAATAATAATAATAAAAATCTATTCCCTCATCATTTCAAATTACTTCAATACACAACCCAGAAAATATAAGGTCAATGATATTGTAGCTTTGGATAATCTTAATTAACAAAATACGATTCTTTGATTGGTCAAACTCATTACTATTGGCTCGTGAAGCGTATCGTATACGAATCCCTGTACTAGCATGAAATGATCTGAACAATTGTAATTGGAGACCGCTATGTTGTGACCCTACATTTCTCACGTTAACCGCTTGAACTTCTCGTATCGATTTACCAGATTTACGCTTTCACAAAATACCTTGTATTACAAATGCAATTAACTTTTAGTCACTGAAATGACAAGTATGAAGACCAAAAACGTTTCGCACATTCGACAGAGAAGTTTACAAATTGTTTCCATGTATTTTAATATTGTCCCACGAGCTTCCCAGGGATCGCCCTAAAAATATCCACAACAAGATTCTCTACTCCGGACTGGAAATCAAAAAATCGTAATAGGATCATTTAGGATGTTGCTCTTAGATACTTCTATTCAACCAATGATAAAGGACATAGTAGAATTTTCGAAGAACCCAGATCTTTTCTCCCTTCCCCTCCCTGTTACTCAATCAACTCATTTGCTGATTTGTTAATTACTTTTAATTGTTGTCTATTTTGAGGGTCTGGAGCATCATTACAACAAGTGTATTTCTATTCATCATTTGGAACCAGTGCCAGGAGTAAAGAAAAGAATCTGTATAATAATATATTAATTTCTTATATCCAACTCAGAAAGTATTGAAACACGATTTTAAGCATATTTCAAAATTACTTAATTTAATGAATTATTACTTAGTTTTATATATTTATTGGATTATAATGGGATTCTGTTGTATAGTTATGACACAAGGTAAGTCCATTAATGAACAAAGACTCATTTTGGCCTGGTTTAAAAATTTCAATATCTTTAATATTCATATACCCGGATACTAAAGTACAAGCGACCTTGATTACAAAAAATAATAATTATGATGGTTTAATAAAAACAGACATTAATTTTGTCAATGACCCTTTATGACCGAAGGTCATGGAGATATACCTTTTGAAGTTGTTTTCTAGAGCGTAGGGGTAATGAACGTCCGGTCTGCCGAAAGGTTATATATATATAGATTTAGTTGATACCAAAATTTAACCCGTAAGCGATTACCACGCTGTACCTTACTTTAAGCACCTTTAAGGCGAACATTCAATATTAGCTATGCAGACCACCCGAAATGTCGATTTGACAAATCCAGTCAAGGGTGTTCTGAAAGAATATGTATGAATTTTATAATCATGTCACTGGAAACACTCGAAACATTTCCAGTGCATAACGAACAAAATGTGTGCAGATTTCAAAAAGAAAATTTGTTGCAAGGTAAACGAATTCAGATTTTAATGGTAAAAAATTTAATTTGCAGCTTTTCCTTGTGACATTTAGGTGCATTGTTCAGTGGTAGTGTACTGTAGTATACTGACTGTACTGTTCTTTTGTGATAAAATGCATAAAAAGTCAATGAAGCGTATGCCCTGCGGTACGCACAGTTAAATGACTTGAAAGTGAAGATAATTTTATTCAAATCTTTCATAGGATCTGTAAAGACCTCAACGTGATCTTGTAGATAACATTATCTACGAATCAGTAATATTATTTTTCATTTTATTATCCGTTTTAAATTTGATAAAGCAACAGAAAGTAAGGTCGTAAAAACGTTTTTATATTTTTTTTCTTTATATGCGTAGGAGTCTTAAGCTTAAAACATTCACCCTCAAACATCGCCATCTCGAATGCCTTACTGTAATCTAAATAAAACACAAGTATTTGGTTTAATTTCTTTGATTGCTATAATCGAAGAAAACGAAAATTCTTTTTTTGAATCAGATGTGTTTCCAGACGCTGACACCTGACAGAATATTAAAATCAATGTTCGTAAACTCAGGATATTCTTAGTTTTTGCCATCGGAGGATATGTCTTAAGGTTTAGTAGACGAGATGTTAGGTGCGACGTACGTCGGAGGATTGTCAGTAGTATTCGCATTGTGATCATGTTTTTAGCTTCTTCATTTACTACTGGTTTATTGCTCACCGTACAACATAGGATACCGTACCGTACATGATCTCTTCGTGTCCATAATCATAATTCTTATTTTTACGAAGCTTAAACGCCGCCTTTTTAACATTATTAAATGTACATTAAATGAAAAAACGTTTTAAGACCATAGAATCAGATTTGTTGATAACCACCAGAATATCTCTTGTTCACTCGGTAGGGTACTTACGGGTCTCCAGCATACACAATAACCCATGTTCATCGGCGTGTATAAGAAAATTTATCAGTAACGAAAACATCACCTAAGTTCGGCAGAAACATCTTTTTTCATTTAAATGTGTTCGGCATTGTGCATAGATGTATGTATCATGCAAATACGGTATTTTAGTAACGAGTAAAAGATACATAAATCAGAAGAATTACCCCAAAAAAGTGATATCTTACCTATACCGTTGAAATTGTCTATCTAGTTACAAACAGGTTTTATCTAGGTCAAGTTTCAATTAAGTTATTCAGGGTTGGGCGGATGACTGAACACGGCCTGTTAAATACTTAAAAATACAAAAACTGTTGTATTGTAACATGTTATTTTCATAAGGATTTACATTAACGAAAGTACGTTAATGTATATTGTTTCAAAAACGTTTTTATCCAACATTTTTAAAATTTATTTTCAAATGTTACCACATTTAAAAAAATGGTTTAGTCCCCATCGTAACCCATCTAAAGATTTACAGGTATCCCTTTTTATTTATCAGTTGATCACGTGACATAGGGACTGTATAGATAACCACACACTCCGTAAGAGGGGCATATATTATAGTGACAAAACAAACAAAACGTATACTTCAGTGATTTGTATGTACGTGTATACAATAACAAAATAATTTCACTGTTAAAATTGTGCTCAATACATCAATTGTAGAGCAATATAGAAATACCACTGTTAAAATTGTGCTCAATACATCAATTGTAGAGCGATATAGAAATATCACTGTTAAAATTGTGCTCAATACATCAATTGTAGAGCGATATAGAAATATCACTGTTAAAATAGTGCTCAATACATCAATTGTAGAGCGATATAGAAATATCACTGTTAAAATAGTGCTCAATACATCAATTGTAGAGCGATATAGAAATGCCACTGTTAAAATAGTGCTCAATACATCAATTGTAAAGCAATATAGAAATACAACTGTTAAAATAGTGCTCAATACATCAATTGTAGAGCGATATAGAAACGCCACTGTTAAAATAGTGCTCAATACATCAATTGTAAAGCAATATAGAAATACAACTGTTAAAATAGTGCTCAATACATCAATTGTAGAGCGATATAGGAATATCACTGTTAAAATAGTGCTCCATACATCAATTGTAAAGCAATATAGAAATACAACTGTTAAAATAGTGCTCCATACATCAATTGTAAAGCAATATAGAAATACAACTGTTAAAATAGTGCTCCATACATCAATTGTAGAGCAATAAAGAAATATTTCTACTTATTTATTTAAAGGCTAGACGTCATATGGTAAGAAAAGGTACCGAATGACACTTCAAAAAAGCATCAAAAAGCACTCAAAAAAGAAAAAATAACAATCACGCCATAGTTCCGTATCCGTATCATGACAATCTATATGGTTAAAATCGGTTTTTTATACGGTTTAGTGAACACTCAAATTTTGCCAAATCTTCCTAAAATTATGATTCAACAGCATTAAGTGTTAAATGGTTGGTATAACTATAAGTATAATGAATTGGAGAGTTGATGTCGTAACACAGACGAATACAAACGGTGTTTTGAAGTGCATCTTTTCATAATAATACAGCATTTATAGCATGCAAATTTGATTGTCATCAAGCCATTTCAAAGGAATGTATGGGCTTCACATGGTAGAAAATCCCTGATATTCAGCTTTGAGTCGTACAATCGAATTTCCCACAATTGTCGCTGTCTTTTCTCACGCGCTTCCATTCCGATGGTAATAGATTTTGAGACTTATGTGCCACAAAACTGTGAAATTAGGAACACGTTTTCAGCTGATGAGTAGTAGGTGCTCCAATTTGGGCTCAGCGAAGAATGAGGGACATTTTGCCAGGACAATGGCATTAGCTTTCCTCGAGACCCAATTGTCGATCGATCTTTAGCGTGTAGCTTACAGTCAGGTTGAGAAAAATCAGGATCATTTCGACCCATCTCTGGAATGTGCTCCGGATTCCGGTCAGAGAGCAAGCTTCTTATGAGACAGATCATAGCACAAATCCCATGTAACGTTCCAAAAGAAATATGGGGTCTCATGAAAGAATAAAATGATACTTTACAATTATACTCTATATTTAATATACTGCAATTGCATTTTACATAAACCAATTAAAACATTATATAGTGAAAACGGGCAGTGTTGCTAAATACCAAGCTTGAATGCAGAAATATTACTTTTAAATTATGCATTCTTAAACAGTTTGTATTTACGGCAGCTTATATGGTAAGTTTTTTTGTTACATAAATATGCAAAAGTTATGATGGTCTATTGTAGTTTACTCTATCTAATTTTCTATGCTTTTTATCTGTATGTGGTTTCGATCATGGAACAGGATAATAACATATGCATTACGCTCGTCTGAATGTCTGTTCTCTCACAATTTGTTGTTCAGCTTTTTGTCTTACAAGTGCTTCCTTTGGGGGATCTCGGACCTCTTGGTCAGAATCTGGAATGAAATAGTTGAAAATGAATTTTTCGTTCAAAATCATAAAGGCATGGACCTCTGTTCAATAATAATACAAAAGAGAATCATGTAATTCAGGATCAAGAGGGTCGGATCGGTAGGTAACATGAATACTTTGGGTTGCAAAGATTACAATGATAACAGTACACTATGCATCGTGTTGAGTAACCTAGTCATTCGATGTAAACGAGAATCAATACAATTTCAGGATTTAGCATGCTGAGACATAACTAAGCAGTAAAAACTTCAATAGGTAACTGAACAAAGATAACAATATGCTTTGAATCATTCCCATGAAGATGCCATGATGTATAATCCTGTTGCTGAAGCATGAACAGGCAGTTTTGCTAGCACAAAAAAAAAGAAAAAGTGTAGGACATCTCTTCCATTTTCCATTTCTTACCTTGTGGACAACAGAATCTCACTTTGTAGTCATTACAGGACTTGTCTGCTTGAAGATTGTTTTGACAGATGAGACCCTGAGATGGTGACAATGTAAGGGTATCACCACCATCTGTATATGGTGCGCCTGATGTAAGCTGAGCATCAACAGCAGTTGGGTGTTTACAGACTCTGCCAGGGTAAGCGTCAAGAAGCGATGCCAAATGTTCCCAGTCACCAGTTCCACTTGGGTTATCTCTATCGAACCATTGAGTCCACTTGTCAGCTGGACATGATGGTGTTTCTCCATCTTCAAAGGAAAAATGAAAAAAATCTTAAGATTTGATACAATCATAATGTAAACACTGTCAGCGTTCAATTCTGCATCTCCATTTGAGAGTAATTCATGGGTCGAAACATTTAAACAGGTCATTTGAACAATCTAAAAAATGTCCTACTTACTTGCGTTGCAGCAGAATCGCACTTTGTAGTCATTGCATTTTTTGTCATTTTGAGCAGCGTTTTCACAAGTTAAACCAATAGATGGTCCAATGGAAACAGCATCTCCTCCAGATGTGTAGGGAGCACCATTGGTAAGCTGAGCATCCACAGCAGTAGGGTTAGCACAAACTTTTCCTGGGTTCTCATTTTGAATTGATGTTAGGCCTTCCCAATCCCAATAACCAGAGGGATTATCACGATCAAACCACTGTGTCCAGTTTTTGGAAGGACAGGTTGATTCTAAGAATGATAAATACATTGACATACAAATTCCATACTTTATTATTTTGTTTGAGGGTTTTGGGTAAAGTTTTTTCATAATCACCTATAGGTTGGGCGGTTGGTGGTCGCTATGTAGATTACAAAAGCGAATCTGGACTGTCGTTTAGAAATAGCCCGACTTATATTGGATAAGACTAAGACTGGTGGTCGTCACGCCAAAATTAATGAAGAAAGATGATCCCACAAAGTGTCTTCTTCAAAGTCGCCCCCTCCTGTGCAAAGTATACATTAAAGAACATTGTGTTAATACCAACCTCCAAAGCAGCAGAATCTCACTTTGTAATCATTACATTTTCCATCTTTCTGGTCAGCATTTTTACAGTAGAATCCGTTTGCTGACAAATATCCTATGTCACCACCAGCAGTCCAAGGATCACCATTCAACAATCTAGCATCAGCAGCTGAAGGCGAGGCACATATCTTTCCAGGATATTCATTTTGGAGATTGGACAAAAGTTCGTAGTCACCATATCCACTTGGATTATCTCTATCAAAAAAGTCGGTCCACGATTCTTCGGGACATGAAGGTTCTTCTTGAACTGAAATAAAGTTAAGAAATCGTCGGCGATTAAGTCTATCAGAAAGAGTTAGACTACCATAATCCGATTTAAAAAATGATCAAAATCCGTGTTTCAAGACCGATATTTTCAAAAATCACCCTCATGAATACCCTATCGCGCATGATGTAATTAGATGAATACTAAGGAATATAACTCTGTTGTATTTTGTCTGTCTGAAATTTCAAATTCTTACCTTTACTGCAACAGAATCGGACTTTGTAATCGGCACATCGCTTATCGTCTTGATCAGAATTGTAACAGATGACACCAACCATTGGACCTATGGACAGAATATCGCCAGTTGATGTATAGGGGGCCCCACTCACGGTCTGTACATCAACACCAGTGGGTTGTTGACAAATCTTGCCAGGATTCTCGGATTGGAGGGTAGACAAGGCTTCGTAATCAGCATATCCGCTTGGGTTATCACGATCAAACCAGGGTGTCCAATCTTCTTTACGACAAGGGGATGGAACTGAAACAGATACATATTGCATATAACAGTAGAGACTACGGGCATGGAACTTTTCTAATCTACCAGGCAAATCATATTTTGGACAACGATTCGGGTTTTTTGTTACTGACTAGTTTAGAAAGCTACCTTTTTTACATATACACATAAAGTCATAGAATCCCTTACTAACATTTTAAGGGTCGTCCTGATAGATTAAGATTACTTTTTTCTTACCCGCAGGGCAGCAGAATCGAACTTTGTAGTCATTGCATCTTTTGTCATTTTGAGCAGCGTTTTCACAAGTTAAACCAATAGATGGGCCAATAGATACAGCATCTCCACCGGCGGTATAATCTAAACCATTCGTCAGCTGAGCTTCTACAGCAACCGGACTAGCGCAGACTCCGGGGTATTCAGACTGAATTGCTGATAAATGTTCCCAATCATAGTAACCAGAGGGATTATCTCTATCAAACCATGGTGTCCAATCTTCTTTGTTTGGACAGGAAGCCGCTGGAATAGACAACGGATAAGTTAATTGGATTCTGTAAATATTAGTCCAAGATATCTGGTAATATTGATTATAAAATTATAAAAATTCGTTATTATCTCTTATGCATTCTCCGACATTGATGAAAAGATGGTAAATTTCAACTTTCTCTGAACACAATGATAAAGATGTAAAATGGACATGAACCTACCTCCGTAGCAACAAAAACGAACTTTGTAATCTGCACATTTACCATCGCTTTGGTCGGAATTCTTACAATAAATACCAACAGATGGACCAATTGTGACTAGATCTCCACCGTAAGTATAAGGACTGTCATCAAGTAATCTAGCATGTACAGCAGATGGTGACGGGCAAATTTTACCCGGGTTTTCAGTTTGTAGATCGGAAAGCAACTCGTAGTCACCATATCCTGATGGGTTGTCTCGATCAAACCAGCCAGTCCATGATCCTTCGGGGCATTCAGGAATTACCTCTTCTGATAAAAAAAAAATCTCCATTAAAATGTATACTGAGAACGCCAATAGAAAATGATATCAAAAAGTGAGACTATTAAACCACAAGACATGTCCTAATTTTGTAAGGATATGTGTGCTATTGATTTATAATGCAATATTGTATATTTTAATGAAATGAGGTACGGTTTTCTGGGCAGTCGATTTTAAAATGCAGTAGAAAATGTTTATTACCGAATTTGATGATGGAAAAGCTTACCTTTGGGACAACAGAATCTGACTTTGTAATCTTCACAACGTTTATCTTTCTGGTCTGAATTCTTACAGATGAGACCAACAGATGGACTGACTGTTACAACTTCACCACTAGTGGTATAGTGTAAACCATTCAACAGCCTAGCATCAACACCAATAGGATTGGCACAAACTTTCCCGGGATATTCAATTTGAATGTTGCTCAATGCCTCGTAGTCGTAGGAACCAGATGGATTATCTCGATCGAAGAAATCGGTCCAGTATCCATTACAATGTGGTTCTTTAATTTCTTTTTAAAGAAAAAGAGAATGGAAACATAAATGACAGGACACGAAACACGTCGGAGTCGACTTTTAAACTATTTAACCCTTGCTCCATACTATTTGGAGTCGATTTCTAGAGAATTACGAAAAAATGAAAGATAGTTTCGTAGGCAAAGGAACGTGCGTCCACTGGCAGCTACGTATTTAGATGGATACAACAACGAACAACATAAAATATATGTCACACATTTCATCAAGAATTGTGGTGTCAGCACAAAATATTGAAAAAGGAACAAAATCTCACAGAAGCTTAATATGTCTAGATTTTTCAGTCAAAAAAAGTGTTCTCAATGTTCAGCCATGAGTGACAATAATTTTTTGAAAATTAATTAAGTTTATTCTTGTTTGATAAACATCTTCACCAAGTTTTCGCCAATATTCGACAATATCTCCTCCTTGAACGGAGTTCAATAAAACACATTTCAATAAGAGTTCATGAATTTTAATGACAGGGTTCAACAGCAACCAATTTTTCAACAACTGAAGCTAAAATAAATTATTTTTTTGTGAACACCCTTTGATGATAACAACATTCACCAATTTTCGTCAAAACCAATCTAGCATTAAAAATATGTAAAAAAAAAAACCTTACTGCTTTCAAGGAACAATGGTTATTTCTCGCGTTATATTTATATACCAACGTTTCGTCAAAATAAAGTCTGGAACTGTTTTACCTACAGTCTTTTCAAGAAATGGTGTAACGACCTCTGGACGAACGCAAATAAACACAAATACGCAGTACATTTCACGTAAATCTATGTAATTACGTTTCTACGTGTTACTGACGAAAGATTTCCAAATTTATGATGGAAATGCTGTAAAAAAAACGACCACCTATCTAACAAAAAAAATTTGAAATATTTTAGAATCTAATCGCATGTATGAAATAATAAAAAAGATAATAAAAAATAAATGAATAATTACCTGAAAAAGCTATGCGCGACTGGCAAAGCGAAAAAAGAGCGCTCAGCGCCCAAATGTAGCGTAGCATTTTCACGAGTGCTTCCAATCAGTAAAAATAAATACAATGATGTGCTAACGATTTGTTGTCCCCTTTTATACATTTTGGCAGTGGATTTAAAATTCATAGATATTGTTTTGGTTACCCCTTCAGGAGATTTTGTATCCGGTTCTTTTTTTAGTTTATGGTTAACCAATGAAAATGTTTCTATTGTTCTTTTCAACCAATCAAAACTTGTTTGTCAGTAAAAAAAGAAATTAAGTCAATGAGCGCATCAGAAATCCATTATCAGTGAATCAATTCAGTTGAATGAATATGTCCATTTAATGGTTTTATGATATCAGTGTTTTTTGTACATTTGACAAAAATCGACATATTATCCATTTTACTTCATAGGGCGATGTCCTAAACGATCAAATTCAATAAAGTTCATAGGTTAATATTTGACCGATATCAGAGTAAAAAAAATAGGGTAGGCGACGGCTTCACTAAATGATGTGCGTCTCCTATCAGTCCGGTTAGGTGCAGAAACGTAGGACGTTGTTGATGTCTCAGGACCTATAAATATCTTCGATAGGGTTCATTCTAGTTAATTTCCTAAAGAATTGAACGTTTAGATGTGTTTACAAGTACCAATTAAACATATTAAAAAAAAATGAAAAATTTATGAATAATTAATTCATTTATTTATTTTTATTTTTTTTCATTTGATTATATATTTATTTATTGCATAATGTTCTTTCTAGAGAGTGCAAGCGAACCAAACCATATTTTACTGCGTTTGAATTACGATGTGCCTTTGAAGTAAACAACTTGCTTGGTAAAAGGGATTGTGAAGCGGTTTTCTAGAGAAAAAATAGGTGTATCGGAGACACTGATAGCACCAATTTGCAACATTCCAATTTTCATTCAGGCGTCTGTGGTTTCTTTTCTACATGATAATATGCTACTGCACGTAACAATGGTCTTTTTCCTACTAGGCCAAACTCCTGTACTTCATCGCCACGTTTTCAAAATTGCGATTAATTTTGCTAATATCATATTTTTACTTTTGTCAAACAAAATGTATATTTGTTTTACCTTTTGTAAAATTCGACAAGATGCATTGGTCTCATTTGCTTAGATGAAGTTACGGTTCTGTGCAGGCCAAGCGAAACGTTTTTGATTTTTGGAAACTCCATAAATTTTTTTTATTTCCTTGTGATATCGTTGAGCATTCGGATTTTAACTCTTTTAATGTTTACTAAACATTTATTCTAAATTTATATACAGGGACAGATGCGCCATTTTTTTTTTTTTTTTTTGTGACCAATTATATTTTATTTAGCTAAGCCAATCAGTATTAGTGTTCATAGCTCACCGTCGAAATTTGAGCCTTCAAAAAGTGTCCAGTATTATCTGTGTTTGCATGTTAAAATGACGATAGGCCTAGATATATAGTGAGTGAAATTCCTAGTTTGAAGTATTTTTTTTTTAAGGAATTATGTGTTTTTTTTTACATTTCTAGTACTTCTGAAGACTATTTACATATGTTCAAAAGTAAAATCACAACCCCCCCCCCCCCCTTTAATAATTATCCTTGAATATTATTGTTATTTTTGTTTTTGTTTTTATTGCAGGAAACGTATTATCTATATTACAATCAACAATATTTCTATAAGGTATAATGGTTATAAAATGAAACAACCTTCCCCGGAGCATGCCATTAACTTCCAAAAATATATATTGGTAACAACTTTTGACAAAAAGCACTTTTAAAAGTAGAGTAAAGATCCACTTTTCATAATAAGGTGGTGTAATTACCAAAAATGACATTAGTCGTGTTGATTTCTTGCCAAGATAAACAAGACTAAGGCAAAACTTTCATTATTTAAAACGGTGTAAATAATATATGAAAATAGTAAATATGCTATAATCAAACTGAATTTGTTTTAAGTGGGTATATTTGAAAATAGTGTTCACAGCTCACCGTCAAAATTTGAGCCTTCAAATCCAACTGTGTCTAGAAAGTTTGAAAGATGAGTCTTTTCTTGATACACTGCCATATATATAGAAAAGATATCTATTCCATAGAAATAGGAAATGAAATTCTGAGTGGGAGATATTTTTGAGGGAATTATGAGATAGTCTATATTGTAATTATATTGGGTACAAGGGTCGCCATTTAACACCGTGATATGTTGCAAGGTACTCTTGCGGAACTTTCACAATGTATTGTTTGATTGCGTTTACTGCTATATGAGAATGTTAGCTCCCCGATTGTCAAACACTGTGTTCAACTATGTGACATAGAAAAGCTCATGCGCCGTGGTGTACATTTTGAAGTAGTATAATTTCAGGTAACATTCACCATGCTAAGGGAGATAAGTCGAAAGAGTGCTATACTGAATATTGAAAATGCGCTGGTATCAAGCCGCTTCAGGAAAGAAATTATGTTACTTCAGCATCTTATCTATTCAGCACTTCACAGTTTACGCGTCATTAAAAAAAAAGAAGAATGAAATGAATGGAGTCTTTATACGTCATAATTTTTTGCACCGTGAAGACGGATAACGCCATTCAGGTGCATTGAGGGAAATGTTTCCATGACAGCGGCATTTGCCTGCTCTTGTTCGATTTCCAGCTGTCGACGGATCTTTAACGTACACAGCTCGGTTTATTGTCCCACCGAACGACTAGATGCTTTTTCCATGTCAACCCCTCTTGCCTGCATCACTGACAGGAGGAAACCGGGTTGAAAAATCCGAAGGTATTATCTCGACCTATGCCGAGATTGAACCCTGGACCTTCAGGTTAGCGAGCAAGTGCCTAACTCACTGAGCCACTGCAGCTCATTCGCGTCATTAAAGAGGCATACTTGTGGTCGATGTAAACGTTTTACTTGGTCTTGATCAGGGGTTGAAATTTTGGGAGGTAATGAGGTGCTTTGAAGTGGAGCATAAACATTTATGATTTAAGTCGTTCTGTCATGAAGAAGAATATATGAAGAATAACGCAGGGAAAACCTAAGAGAAAATCACGTAATGGTAAGGATTTATAGGCGGTAATGTAAATCAAGTATCCTGAAAGGGGTAATGGTGAGTGTAAGCTTGAAAAGTGACGTTTGTACAGTCGATCTTTTCTCGGGGATGTCACATGACCTGGCTTTGTACCCCCCTCCCCTCGACCTCACTTTAAAATTTTTGTATCATTATGCATAGAGAAATCCTGTGGTCAATGATCCACACCTGACAAAATACCAATGTAAATGCAACTAAAGGTACTTTAATTGAAAAACAACAGTTTAAAAGATAAGGTTTAATATTTTTTCATTGAATAGTAAAGATATATTCTCATCTAAGTTTTGAAAAAGTCAGTAGTTCAGGGTATAACAAGAGTTGTGTGAATTTACAATAGATGTTTTATCCTCACCATCACCTATAAAACAAAATATTAAATGTTACTTACTAATTTACAAGTATGCAATAAATAATATATCCGAGCTTCTATCAAAGGGTCCGATTTATTTTGCAGCATATGTGAAAGTGGGATTCGCCGAAAGACGAAGACGACCATGGCTCATATAATATAAAACTTGAAAATTTGAATTTTCATTGGATTTTACAAATAATATGTACTCTGTACAGGTCGTAATTTTATTCTACATCTTACCAGATTAATGACACCAGAATCGGACTTTATAGTCATCACACAACTTGTCTTTCTGATGTGCATCCTCACAAAGCAGTCCAAACGACGGGCCTATAGTAACTGTATCGTCGCTTTCAGTGTAGTCCAAACCATTTACCAATCTTGCATCAATATCAGATGGATCTTCACAAACCTCGGGGTGAACTTTTCGGATTTCACTCAGTGTTTCGGCTTCGTCTTGGTCTCCCGGACTATCAACATTATAGAAGTCGGTCCAGAATCCCTCAGGGCAGTCGAGGATTTTAGCTTACAAATGAAATATAAGTAAGTGCAAAATGTTTATTGCCAATGGTAGAACAAGGCAATATACAAGCAATTTAATTGAATTCAAAATCTTTTGGCAGTCATCACCAGATACCTAGAATCGACTATGCTTTCCTAAATTTTATGCTTTAAGATGAAAAGGGATTGGTCGTTGTGGATCGCGTCCTGTGAACAGTTTATGGAAGGTGATTATTAATATAATGAGTATACATGTATTGTATAAAACTTGGTATGATTGCATATATACAATGGATGAATAAATGAATATGCCGTAGGTAAAACAGGGGTTCACATGTGGTTTTCTAGCTTTGTATGCTTAACCCTGCCATTCCTATTTCCCGGCCGACGTCGAAATTGCGTCATTAGGCATTATGGGTGTACTCATTAATCATGCAAAATCCAGAAAAGTTATTTGACCCATTTGAATTAAGACATAGAGCAGTTTTCTGAGTTTTCCAATTATATTACCAGATGAATATATTTGACCTTCGACACTTCAGACTTGATAATGAAAAGGAAAGTCTTAAATTAAATTATTACCTGTTTTGCAACAGAATCTTATCATATAATTTTGACATTTTCCACTCTTCTGATCCGAATTTTTACAGACGATTCCATACGTTGGGCCGACAGTTACTACATCATCGCTGGTGGTATAGGAATATCCATTATCCAATCTGGCATCAAAGCCAATAGGATGTTCACAGATTTGGTCGGGGTAAGCGTTATAGAGTTTCTCGAATGATTCATCATCAGATCCGCCCGTTGGATTGTCTTGATCAAAGAATTCCGTCCAGTTTCCATCACAATATGGCTCCACAGGTTTTAAATCTAGAAATAGAATGTTTTATGGTTTTTTGTCTTTTTATTGGCCTTTTTAGTTTTTAGGTTCGAATCCGAATAGTTGGACCTAATTCAAGTCTGGATCAAGGATTTATGGTATAAAAAAAATGAATCTTGTGACTGCCCTTTTTATGTTCGAATTCTTATAGTTCGATAAATCGATACCTTTGAACAACAGAATCTGATTTTATATTTTTCTCATAAAATAATTTACGCTGTGAACAGCAGAATCTGATTTTATAAATAAATAATTTACCTACCATCTGACTTTCTCATAAAATAATTTACGCTGTGAACAGCAGAATTATTTTATCATAATTAAACATTTTACCTTGTGGGCAGCAGAATTTAACTTCATAATTTTCACATCTCCTGTCATCCTGGTCTGAATTCTTACACTGCAGTCCAAACAATGGAGAAATTGTAAGTACTTCTTTAGCAGTGGCATAATGATCTCCATTAAGAAGTTGTGCATGAATAGCAGTAGGTTTTTCACATACTTCTGGATACGCCTTTCGGATTTCCTCCAGTCTTTCGTCTTCGAGACCATCGTCTGGGTTATCTTGACTGAAAAACCACGTCCAGTTTGAACATTGTGGCTCTTCAAGTTTAAGTTCTAAATACAAAGCAAAAGTCCAAATGTAATTTAGCCTAACCTAAAGTGCTGTTGATTAACCAAAGTAATTTTAGTATAGGCTACCTCAGAAAACAGCAACTCGAAAGAAAACACTATAAAATCACAATGCAATACAATTTGGTAATTTAAATCACTAGAATATATAATCGTCCATAGTACATAGGCAAAATGATACTGCACTGAAGTATTTCAGTATATTATCTAAAAAAAATGGTGTATAACCTTTTGGACAGCAGAATCTGATTTTATAATCTTCACATTTCCCATCTTTCTGCTCTGAATTCTTGCATGTAAGTCCAAACGATGAACTGACTACGACTACATCTCCGCTCGTGGTATAATGTTCGCCATGCAACAATCTAGCATCAAATCCAGTAGGGTTTTCACATACAGAATAGTCCTCTCGGATTTTCTCCAGTGTTTCATAGTCGTAATTGCCGTTAGGATCGTCTCGATTAAAGAAGTCGGTCCACTCTCCATCACAATATGGCTCTTTGGGTGCTGAATAAGGGGATAAAAGTATATGTTGAAGTGCAATTTGTAAATATTCTGAATGGTTTCGATAGCTATTGGAATTGGCTTTACTTTGTACTTCCACAATTCAGTGATAGGGCCTAATGTTAAAGATGGGTTTCCTTATTTGTTAGTGTCAAATTAAGCAAACTATTTGATTAATCGGTGTTTCTAATGAATTATCATGTATTCTTTATCATATCATTATTTTCTCATTGCATATAATTAAAAGTTTTAACCAATCATAAATGTCCATGTATGTACAGTCTGGATAAACAAAAAAAGATTTTTTGACCTTTTTTGATCAGTCACTCATTGGAATTCTGCTGGTAATGCTCTTCTAATTTAGCTAATTATGAATTGATTATGGACATGTGAGACACGTAATACAATAGCTATAGCATCTGACCTTGTTACCAATGCCAATCTAAGGATCTGACATACAAAACTTAAGAGCGGACTCGTGGTTGTATAATTAAATATTTACCATGTGGACAACAAAATCTGACTTCATAATTTTCACACTTCCCATCCTTCTGGTTGGAATTCCTACAGACTAATCCATACCATGCTCCGATAAAAAGTATTTCTGCTGTTGAAGAAAATTCATTAGTATTTTTCACCCTTGCATCAACAGCAGTTGGGTATTCACATACTTTACCAGGAAACTTCACTCGGATGGCATACTGTCGTTCTAAATCATATTCATTATCTGGTCCGTCTCCATTAAGGAATTCAGTCCAGTATCCATCACAGTCTGGCACGTAATGATCTAAACAAACAAAATTAAAAATTTATATAGAAAAACAGTTTTAAAATGTAGAAAATAGTTTACCACTCTGGCAAAAGGCCTTTTGTACAGGGATACTGAAGAAGAATCAGATTTACTCTTTTCAAGAATGTTAGTCTGACTGCAGAATTACGCATTATTATACCTAACTATCTTAATATATGAATAGTATTTTTCTTATTTATCTCAGAGTAGAATTTGACTTAATTAATTAAATATTTTACAGTGTGAACGGCTGAATCTGACTTTATTATTAAATATTTTACTGTGTGAACGGCTGAATCTGACTTTATAATTCAATATTTTACTGTGTGAACGGCTGAATCTGACTTTATAATTAAATATTTTACTGTGTGAACAGCTGAATCTGACTTTATACTTAAATATTTTAGTGTGTGAACGGCTGAATCTGACTTTATAATTCAATATTTTACTGTGTAAAAGGCTGAATCTGACTCTATAATTAAATATTTTACTGTGTGAACAGGTGAATCTGACTTTATAATTAAATATTTTACTGTGTGAACGGCTGAATCTGACTTTATAATTAAATATTTTACTGTGTGAACGGCTGAATCTGACTTTAAAATTAAATATTTTACTGTGTAAAAGGCTGAATCTGACTCTATACTGTGTAAACGGCTGAATATAATTAAATATTTTACTGTGTGAACGGTTGAATCTGACTCTATAATTAAATATTTTACTGTGTAAACGGTTGAATCTGGCTAGATTATTAAATATCTTACCGTGTGGGCAGCAGAATCTAACTTGATAATCTTCACATATTCCGTCATCCTGGTCTGAATTTTCACAGATTAACCCTTCCGATGCAGATACTTGAACGTGTTCGTTACTAGTAGTATATAGCATGCCATTCATTAGTCTTGCATCAACGGCAGTAGGACTTTTACATACTTTGGGATGCTTATTTCGAATTAGCGACAGTCTTTCGTCGTCGGTTTTGCCGGAAGTTGGATCATCTCGATCAAAGAAGTCGGTCCAGATTCCATCACAATGTGGTAGAGCTTCTAAATAAAGCAAAGATGGAAGTATCAGTAAATTGTTATAGATAACATAGTTAAATGTAGCTCAAAATGCAGTACATCCATATAATAGAAAACTTCATGAAAGATTTAATATTTTCAATAACATAGACAATTATGAAAAAAGGTAATAAAGCAAAATCTTTTCATTAAAAATCGAAATCATAAATAAATATTTCATCAATCTGACAACAGAACTTGACGAATTACATGTATTCCAAACAGATCGTACAAATTAAACATGTTACCCAGAATCTGACTAAATGATTAAATATATCAGCCAGAATCTGACTAAAGGATTGAATATATCAGCCAGAATCTGACTCTATAATCAAATACGTTACCTAAAATCTAACTAAATGATTAAATATATCAGCTAGAATCTGATTAAAGGATGGAATATATCAGCCAGAATCTGACTCTATAATTAAATGTATGTTACCCAGAATCTGACTTAATAATTAAATAAATCAGCCAGAATCTGACTATAATCAAGGGAAAGTTGCGCCATTTTTTTTACTTCAGAAACGGGAAGGTTTTTTTTAGATAGGCCAATCAGTACCAGTGTTCACAGCCCATATGTGTCCAGAATTATCCGCGTTTGAAAGTAAACGCGTTTGAGACACTACCATAAAAGACATCTATAGAAACAGGGAAAAAATTCCTACTCTGAGATATTTTAGAAGGAATTATGAGATGTTCGTACATTTCTAGTACTTTTGAAGACTATTTATATGACATTCAAGACTAAAATCAACCCTCCAAAATGGCGCATCTGTCCCTTTAAACATTTTACCCAGAATCTAACTTCATATCTTAATATCTTACCGTGTGGGCAGCAGAATCTAACTTTATAATTATCGTTATCAACCATTTTTGCATCATGATCAATAGGGTTATCACATACTTGGCCCATATACATATCTTTGACGGTCGCCAGTCCTTCGTCTTCGTAAGTGCTAATTGAATTGGCACATTAAAGAAGTCGGTCCAGGTTCCATCACAATAAAGCGATATATCTAAATAAAACAAGAGAGTATCAGTAAATTTTATCGATTTCTTTAAGAGATAGCGCAGATTAATGTATAAAGTGGAGTGGTTGTAGGCCAAGACAATATTAGAAAAATTTCAGCTTTGATAATTTCAAAATCTGGACAATGAAGAAAACTAAACCAAATCTTAAAAAATCGAAATCATCATCAATACAATGATAATCATTTGGGCTATATACTTCAATTTGGTGATCGATAACTAGAGTTAATGTTTTCTGTTAAAATCGAATACGTCATCATAACCCCAAATCGGACTATTTGTACTGACTTTTTTTAACAGTTTGGACTCGTAAAATAGTCCAGTCGTTCTAATTAGGTCAGCAATAATTTTGTTATGGCGTTGAAAACTTGCATAGATCTGACTATATAATTAAATATTTTACACAGAATCTGACTCTATAATTACAAATATCAGCCAGAATCTGACTCTATAATTACAAATATCAGCCAGAATCTGACTCTATAATGAAATATTTTACCCCATATCTGACTCTATAATTAAATATCTTAGCCAGAATCTTCTATAATTAAATATTTTACCCAAAATCTGACTCTACAGTGGAATATTTTACCCAGAATCTGACTCTATAATTTACCCAGAATCTGACTCTATAATTAAATATTTTACCCAAAATCTGACTCAATAATTAAATATTTTACCCAATATCTGACTCTATAATTAAATATTTTACCCAATATCTGACTCTATAATTAAATATTTTACCCAGAATCTGACTCTATAATTACATACATCTGCCAGAATCTGACTCTATAATGGAATATTTTACCCAAAATTTGACTCTATAATGAAATATTTTACCCAGAATCTGACTATATAAATACATAATATCAGCCAGAATCTGACTCTATAATGAAATACTTTACCCCAAATCTGACTCAATTAAATATTTTACCCAAAATTTGACTCTGTAATGAATTATTTTACCCAGAATCTGACTGTATAATTAGATATTTTATCCAGAATCTGACTCTATAATAAAATATTGTATCCAAGAATCTGACTCTATAATAAAATATTGTTTCCAGAATCTGACTCTATAATGAAATATTGTACCAATAATCTAACTCTATAATAAAATATTTCATACAAAAGCTTTCTCTAAAATTAAATATTGTACTGCTTTAACGGCCGAATCTTTAAATATTTTACTGCGTGAACGAGTGTATCTGACTTTATAATTAAATATTTAACTGCGTGAACGAGTGTATCTGACTTTATGATTAAATATTTTACTGCGTGAACGAGTGTATCTGACTTTCTAATTAAATATTTTACTGCGTGAACGAGTGTATCTGACTTTATAATTAAATATTTTACTGCGTGAACGAGTGTATCTGACTTTATAATTAAATATTTAACTGCGTGAACGAGTGTATCTGACTTTATAATTAAATACTTTACTGCTTGAACGAGTGTATCTGACTTTATAATTAAATACTTTACTGCGTGAACGAGTATATCTGACTTTATAATTAAATATTTTACTGCGTGAACGAGTGTATCTGACTTTATAATTAAATACTTTACTGCGTGAACGAGTGTATCTGACTTTATAATTAAATACTTTACTGCTTGAACGAGTGTATCTGACTTTATAATTAAATACTTTACTGCTTGAACGAGTGTATCTGACTTTATAATTAAATACTTTACTGCGTGAACGAGTATATCTGACTTTATAATTAAATATTTTACTGCGTGAACGAGTGTATCTGACTTCATAATTAAATACTTTACTGCGTGAACGAGTGTATCTGACTTTATAATTAGATAACTTACCGTGTGGGCAGCAAAATCTAACTTTGTAATCTTCACATATTCCGTCATCCTGGTCTGAATTTTTACACATTAACCCTTTCGATGCGGATACAGTAACGTTTTCGCCGCTAGTGGAATAATGATCGCCATTCACCAATCTTGCATCAATATCCGTAGGGTGTTTACATACTTGACCCGTATACTTCTCTTGGATCCTCGCTAGTCCTTCATTGTCGTATTTGTCTTTTGGACTGTCTCGATTAAAGAAGTCGGTCCACTCCCCATCACAATGTGGATCTGCAGGTTTAAAACGAAAAAGTGGAAATTATTATTGATCTTATACGGTTTACATAGATGCATTAAAGATAGTGACAGAAAGCATGGAATATGCCAACCTTAATTCATTACGCACAAGCAGACAAAATCGCTAAAAAGAATTTGTTAAGAATTTAACAACCATCAAAATCCAATTGAATAGAGATCAAAATTCTAGCTTTCAAGTATTTCGAGAGTTTGGTACTATTTCACGAGTTTTAGATTACATAAAGCTAATATTATTTTTTTAGGACAGGTGTTTTCTACCTTTTTCTTTTTCGTTTCCATTTCAGAGTCCTCGATCAATTGCATTACCCTCCCCCCCTTTTAAATCTGTACTATAACCCCCTTCTACCTATAAATCCTTACTATTACACCACCTCCCAATATAAATCCTTACTATTAATCCCCCTTCCGCATATAAATCCTTACTCTTAACCCCCCTTCCCCTATAAATCCTTACTCTTAACCCCCCTTGCTCTATAAATCCTTACTCTAAACCCCCTTCCCCCTATAAATCCTTACTATTTCGTGATTTTCTTTTGGGTTTTCTCTGCGATGTCGGAGAATATAGCCTGATTGAATGGAACGACTTTGATTATAATTGTCTAAAGATTTTATGCCAGACTATAAACCGTCTCATTACGCCAAAATTTATTAAAACAATCCCCAGGTAAAAAAGCTTTAGGACAGTTAAAATAAGTTAATATTTTACCGTATGGGCAACAGAAGCTGATCTGATAATCTTCACACATGTGGTCGTCCTGGTCTTCATTACGACATAAAAGTCCATTCGTTGCACTGACAGTAATATTTTCACCACTAGTAGTATAGCTTTGTCCGTTCGCCAATCTTGCATCAAAACCAACAGGATTATCACATATATGACATGGATAGGTTTTTCGGATTTTTTCTAGCGTTTCGTCGTCGTATTCGCCACTTGGATCGTCTCGATTAAAGTATTGGGTTAAGGTACCAAATTCACATTCGTTTCCTTTAAAAATAAAACCAATAACCTTAGTATACAGTTTTAAGAAACGATTATCACAAGTCTCATTCGAAAAAGAAGTCAGCTCATTCCATGTCCCAGCAAATTTCAACTCATTTCATAGTGCGTGGCGTTTTCCATTCCCTTACACAAAACATTCTGCTCTGTTTAAATGTATATTTTTCCTATTTATTTAATGGTAAAAAAATCTCTATACTTCGAGCGACAGATTTATTTGCTATATCCGGATTCAAAATCAATATCGATTGAAGATGCTATGAAAGGCAGATATATCTTTACAGTTACGACTATTTCGTATGACTCTGAAGGGCGAAGTTGACACCATATTCGAGTAATATTCTTCTTTAGAGAACCCCTCCAAGCAGCTTACCAAGTTCAATTACATTAGCAATACTAAACTGACGATAAATCGCACAGACCATAACGGGCATAGTTCCAACTTTACTTTCCATGTGAAAACACTCAGAGTCAAAAATTGACTTTTCAAAATAATTTCTAGATAGACCTTACCATTTCCTTCAGACGCACACACCAAAATTAAAGCACAAAATACTAACACGAAGCGCAGCATTTTGAAACAATGTCTTCAAGTTGCTACAACAAGTGTGTTGATTAAATTGGATTTTATTCGGCTTTTAAACATTTTGACAACCAATTAAAATTTTTTCCAATCATTCATCAGCAGACCATGGTTTTGATAAAACTGATAAATAAAGCAGTATTTTGTATATCGATTACTATCGGGACCCATCTGTACGTTGTTAAAAACTTTGGCTGTGTATATGTTTTAAAACTTTTGGCTATCAATCAACTGTGTCAGGTTACCGATATATAATTTAGCTGAAATTTAAGAGGTGAAAGTTGACTCTCGAAAGCACATACCGCGAAATCCGAATTTATTTTATCTTGAACATGATTCGAACCTCGTCCACCTTGCGTCAATACTGAAGAAGGAACCAGCAAAATTCAACAAAACATTTTTATTCACCAACTCCTTCCGGTATGTTATGCGACTATAATACTATATAATTTATGGTAGAATTCTGGTTCGGTTGTTTACAAGCTTACATCAGACCCGTAGATACAAGGGGGGCACTAAAAATGGAATCAATTTTATTATTGAAACAAAACACCATTTACCATTGCCCATCCGGACGTATTACTTGCAATCCAGTCTGGATCCGAACCTGGCATATGCGCGTTCGATAACAATATTTGGTACACATAATTATGTAGATCTGATGGGTTCAGCAATTTAATGATAAACGGTTTATAGTCACTTCCCTTGACGAAAACACGCCATTATTGGTTTGTAATAATGCATGTTGGATTCCATTATTTTTCATGTATGTCTATGTAATTATAAATTCCTATATCATGTTTGTTAATGACTTAATGTATATCTTCAGGCTAGAGAGCATTATCTTGTTTTTGTGTTCCGCGCTGAACAAGATATTGCTTTGTAATGGGATATGATAATATCGAGATGTCGACCAAAAAACCTTTCCTTAGATTTTGGTGTATAGTTTTAATTATTTTCAGCACCTAACTTTTCAAGCATTTAAAAAAACTAAATTCATTACCCGTCTTTTCACGTGGATAGAGGACATATAGTTTTGTCGAAATTTTGTAAATCCCCGTAAGCAGTGTGGGAACAAGGGGGGTGGGGCCCTAGAATACTGGTTTGCACCCCCAATTGTACCCCAATTTTATTTTCAACATATTAAATATGTAATATAGTATTAAATAAAAATATGATTTTTATACGTTTTTGCCCTAAAATTGCTTCAGAATGCATAATATCAATGTAATTCTCGGAAAGCTGGCGCCGCCACCGGCCGTGAGGAAAAACACAAGATGCACAAAAATAAAATTTCAGTCGAAAATTGTTTGATTGGTCAACTCGACAATAGAAATATTCTATGTGATATGAAATGTTACACAGATGTTGTATTTAACGATTTTAAATGGTCTAATTAGGAATATATTTGATAAATTGTAGATAAATATGTTAATATTAATTATGCTGGCCAATATAGTGTCGTCTGGTGATTTTAGAATAATTTATATTCTTTCATAAACAACAGAAAACTGCTAACTCACAGGGAAATTAAGGTCAATTGCATTCAAGCAATCTGTTAATTTATTTTTCTATTTTTTAGTTTTCGGGGTAACATTATTAATTCAATATGAATTTTAGAGTGGACCATTGCTGTTTAGGAACGTTATGAGAACACAGGCACAGGAATTTAGGCGTAATCTCTAGTGAGAGAGAATCGCTTGTGCAGTTAGTTTGAATAATATAATATAATTTGAATATATGAAATAAAAATCAATAAATCTTCGCTTATATTACCCCTAAAATGATTAATGCAACTATAATAAAATACATCAAAAGATGAAAACTCAATTAGAATATAATATATATACGTTATATTATACAATGATAATATCATGTATTGCTATACACATAATTCCTAACGTTTGAAATAATTATGTTGTTAAAAATAGGAACTTTCGTGAAAAGAAATCAGATTGAAAATAATTTTATGAAATGTGGTGTTTTATAAGAATCTTTTTGAATATTCAAAATGAACAGCGTTAGGTATTCAATCTGTTTTCAGTGATACAGGAACTATACCCCTGGTTCCAAATCTGGAAAACTGTTGTAGGGGAATTTTTTTTCTTGGGGAGGGGTGGAGGGATATTATATGGTTCCAGTACTTCTGGTGCATGTTTTTGCCACAACTATTGAGCCAACCTAGGCTTCGGTGTCTTTTGAGGATTTTCCTGGAAATTTGACTTGGGTCTCAATGTTTTATGACAGCACGTGCATTGTATGCAGTCAATTAGTGTGTGTAATATGATTATATATCCATTATTATGTCTGGTTATTATGTTTAATTATAAATTATAAATGTTTTGAATGTCCATTGTTTGGAGGGGTTCAAAATTAATGATTATTCCAGTGGTTTAAAGGCTGAAAAGTGTTTGGAACCACTGAACTATACAATACTGGAAAAGTCTTGTACGATGGATATCTTTGGAAATTCATTTGGTTTCTCGATGAACTGAACCTATTTGTTAAAAGGCAGCAATCTGCATATCCCGGGATTCGTTATTAGGTTCTGTTTAGTCCGAAACATCTGCCTCTATTCCAGCCTCTGATGGACATTTTGACAGCTGTCAAGTCAGAAGAAAGAGACCCTGTTAAATGGTTTTTTTTTCTAACATAATATTAAATTACCTATACGATGATTGTAAATTAGTGATTGACATTACCATAACTTTCGTTTTGATACTATCTCGTGACTGTGAGAACTTTTGGATGCGCACACAGTTTTAAAAGGACGATGCTAAATAAGTTCCGTCAAAAATAACTTTGATGAAACCGGACATGTGACAAAAATGTTGTAGGGAGAAAATGATGGTATGACTGAACTACAAAAATATTCATGATTCAAAATATATCTGGATTTTCCAGAGGTAAGTAACAAAGTTTAAACCTGCGGAGATGCGGAATGTACCCATTTAATGGGGCCTATTTTTTCTGTCGCTACACTAGCTGACGTCTGTCCAAATAGCTATCAGAGGCTGGAATAGAGACAGATGTTTCGGTCTAGGTTCTGTTTTAATATTTCTATTCCGGGATTCATTTATGATTTGTGAATAGTCAGAAGTACTAAACTGTACGGAAATCGAATAACCAGTTCAACTATACCTCAAATTGAAAATTCACAAGAAATTTCAACTTTCACTAGTTTTAAACCTGTCTGAATATTGAACGTCTAGCC